AATCGGCAATGAAAGGAATATAATGTAATAATATATTTCCAGGGTGAAGGTCATGATGCACAAATCCCTCATCATGATAAGTCATCACAAACGAGTATTCATTTGTAGCTGGATTTTTAGTTATTCCATAATAAGAAATGGAGCTACGATACTTGCACTGTAGAGCAGTCTGTATCCAATTTTGAAAAGTTAATTAATATTGAAAAACAAAAAAAGCAATATGCTTACACTTGAAGGTGTTCATTTTACCTCGTTTATAAGCTCGGATGTAATTTGCTTTGAATTGTGTAATGATTTCAACACAATTTTGTTTTTCTTTAGTTTAAACCTATTCTCTTCATGATTCCACTTCTCGTAGTCGTTCAATGTTGCTTTGTAAATTATCACAAAACCACCTTTTGCAAGATATTAAACATCGGTAAATCTTTCAAAGGGATCCATTCAATACATTAAATTTACTAATATTATTGTATTCATTTATTAGACTGTCGATATCTTTATTTCCACTAGAGCATTCAACATAAATTCATTTGTGATAATTATTTTTTGACATTTGGTACATTTACTACAATCATGAGCATTGTGAACTGAACACTCATCGCAGTACTTATAGTAGCTACAATCGAAACAGTTCTTACTACAATCATGAATAATGTGAACTGAACACGCTTTGCAGTAGTAATTCCGTTTACAATCCCACATTACTCACCCTCTATATATGGAAACTAAAGCTTTTACACTTTAGAATAAATACGTACTGTTCTATTTCGAGATCTTTTGAGGGATAAAAATGAGCATACCGCATACGTAATTTTGAGATGCAGATTGCGAATTATTTGTACTTTCAGACGATACATGTGAGTCGAAGGCAAGACGATTCTTTATTTGAAAATTTTATTCTTCAAACAATCGATAATTTATATATTAAGCTTTTTGGCAATTACATCAATGTTTGGTCTCCTATCTTCTTTTTCGTTCCACATTTGTAGATTGGTTTATTAATCTACTAGTTTTGCAGTCAATAATACGTTTTTACTAAATAGAAATAAGATTATTAACACATCGGGGACTAATATTGGATGGAGTACGTTTACGCTGTGGCAAAAACTTCGAGATGCAATAAAATGTCCGTTGCATTTTCTAATTTCTTTTTCTTTGTTTCATTGCCAATGCTGAATATCTTACAAAAGGTGGTTTTGGAACAATTTGTAAAGCAACCCTGTTGGACAGACGATTTCTGGCAAGTGGGATCATGAAGAAATAAATTGTAACGAATTCCTGTCTGTATTTCTTTGTCTGGAACAAATTCGTCTCTTTAGAAAAGATAGATATGACGTGATCTACGTTTCACATATATCGATTTAACGTATCTATCTAATCGAATGTTAGCAAAAAATTGGCTCAGAACTAAAGCGTATTGGTGCTATCGATGCACAAGGTTATGTTGTTATTTATCAATGACCTATGATTATTAATTTTCTTCCCACACTTCTTTCTGAATACTCATACTACAGTGGTGAGAATGTTGCGCGTGATGTTTCTTTAGCTTTCTTTCTTCAAAGTTTCTTCTCTGACTTTTTACTTCTTTTTCAAAGTAAAACTGGAGTGTTCCTTTAACTTTTCTCGCTTGTAAGACTTCCGGATAGTGCATCTAAAATATAAAAGTAATCACCTTTGTGGTAGTGCAGCCATCTACCTTCGTGGTAATACATCTTTACCTGGGCAGCATATCTAAAAACTCGAAAAAGAATAAAAAGCAGTTACCTCCGTGGCAGTGTATCCAACTTCGTGGTAATGCATCCATGGTAATGCATTCATCCATCTATTTTCGTGGTAATGTACCTTTACCCGGGAAAGTATATTAAAAATAAAAAGTATCACCTCTGTGTCAGTGTATTCACCTCTACCTTTGTGGCAGTGCATCCATCTACTCTCGGTATTTTTCATCTTCTTATTAAGTATATTATTTTACGAGTATCACTGGCGAGTTTTAAATTTTAAAATTAGATGATGTGCGCAAAATATAATATTTGCAGGAGAATCAAGAATATTTAGCTTCACATAAGTCTATGATATTTTAATGCGTAGAAACTGAGAAGAAATTGGGGATGGAGATACTGTAGTTTCTTTTTATATAAAATGCACAGAAATTATTTGGTTTTATGCTATCGGATGCCCTATAAAAAATAATCAGGTAAAAATCCGGTTTTTTAAAAATCGATTAATATCTCATGACTTACATAACAAAATTGGATAAAAATAAAGCCGCACATTTACTGAGATTTAGTGTGATTGTGGCTGAATTTTGGTGGAATTTGGCCTGGTGGGTCATGAGATATCATGCTTCAAATTAAGCGTTCCAAATTAAAATAAGTTTTTTTTCAAAAATCAGCAATTTTGAACATGATATCTTAGGAATTACCAGACCATTTTTGTAATAATTACTACCATTGAATTCACCAAAACTAGGTGAATTTAATGATAGTGTGTTTGGAAATGATGAATTTTAATTTTGAGCAAAAAATTGATTCCATAACTTTGAGACGCGATATCTCGTTTAATTCGGATGAAAATATAGAACCATAGCCATGGCGAAAAAAGTTTCGAACACGTGATCCCAATTTCGATTTCGATATCCCTTAAAATCATGCACCTATCAAAAGTAAGCATTTGTCAATTTTTTGCGTTATACGTTGATCTTGCGATTTGAAAAATAGCTGTATATATAGCATAGTGGACTTTCTTTGTGATTGGCTAATTTTTGTAGATCATTTTTAATTTGCTAAAATTCTATTGGTTGATAAAATAGCATACTTTAACGTTAACGTTAGTGATTAAATCGAATAAAATAAAGGATAGCGATAGATAAACATGATAAAAGATTATAATAATGCGATAAGTACGTATGAATTTTTAGCATTAACAATTACATGTAGTTTGTTATAGCGTTTTTTGCATAATGCCTTGTCAACTAAATTTAAATGTTTATATCTGGTATAGTCACTTTATACAGAAACGTCATTTTTTTCATAATCGCAAAATCATCTTCTCCATCCAGGTCACAGTATTCTACCTTTCTTCTCACCAACAGGACGCTGTACAGCAACAACATCTATTTTATTTTGTCAAATTGCAAAAAACGCTTCTATAATTAACTTCCGAATTACTTCACCTTTTTCCAAATTACTTTAACAGTATATAGAATTAACGTATACTACTAAGTCGAAAAAATTTTATCGTCAATCATTTATGTTCTAACAAAGTGTTTCTTGCAAAATTTTACTATATATTACGCTCCCATTTGCTATACAATAACCTTAACCCTAAACCTAATCCTAACCGAAACTCCTTAATATCATGCATAATAAATAATAGGAATATCGGATGGTCGGCGTTGGTGTCAGAATCACGTGATCGACACATTTTATTCGCCATGGCTAGGATACTAATGAAAATACCAGTCATGACTAGAGGGATCGAATGGTGTATTTTTTGTCTGGATTGAAAATGTGGATCACGAGATATTGCGTCCCCATTTTAATCCGGAAATTTCATAACTTTACCTGTGGTTTTCCGAACTAAAAAAACCGGATTTTTGCCTGATTATTTTTTTACAGGGATGTTACAAGACATTTCCTTAACTACTTTTTCATAATTTTTGATACATTATCGACATTATATTGTTATACTTCTTTTAAAGCATACTCTTAGAACTGGCACTATAAAATCCATTTAAAAGTGTTGCTATAACGTGCTCCGACTGTATCGGTATTTGCTGTTTATCAATAATGATAATACCTATTACACGTTAGATGAACGGAATGTACGAAGGACGAGAAAGTAAAAATGTACTTTATTACAATAATTATTTGTCATACTTAAAGGATACTGTAGTCAAATAGGAATAATAGACTGCTACGTAATCGTTAACTTGTGTGGGAGATGCGAATTTGACTAATACTACTTATATAATGGCTAAATTTTTAAAGGCCTTGTGTTAATATCTACGGATATTGATGTTGGGATTTATGCCGTAGAGTTGCTTTAATCTTAATCGCGCAATTTTCTCAACAATACCTTTTCCAATTATAATAATAATAAATAAATCACAATCGTCACAAACGTTTCGTCAAAACAATCGGTCACATTTTCTGGATCAAAAGAGGCATCCCTTCAAAACAACAAAAAAATCCTATACTAGGTAGTGAATTAAAGGTGATTTTATAAGAACCATTGTATACAAGTAAACAATTATTTTTTAAACACACTTTATTTGATATTTAAGCATTAGTCTTTACACATTTTTGGTTCATATTACAAGAAAAATTATTTATTAATTTGCTGCACAAATTATAGGGTGAAATTATCAGATAAATTACTGCAGAAATTATAGTACAAATTATTAGACAAATTATGGTGTAAATTATGGAACAAATTTTGGCGTAAATTACATTGTTCTAATTGGCTAAAATAAAATAAAAATAAAATTACGCCTGAAACTGGCACTATCAAATTCATTTAAAAGTTTCTAAAAGTGTGTTACTATAACGAGCTTTAACTGTATTTGTATATCGGCAAGTATCCTTTTTTATGTGATGTTTTGTTGGATTAATTCTGTGCTGAAACATTTTTTCTGTGAATTCTGCAACTTCACATAGTTTAATATAATAATAGTGATTATATTTTCTATTGTAAAATACTGATATATACTTTTTTCAGGCTAATTCAGCAAAATTCAATGTTCTTTTTTCGTTTATATGGTGCATAAAATCAAAAGTAATCAAACGTTTGTATTTTATAAAATGGATAAACTTCTTTACTAAGAAGTAAATACAAAATTTAATCCGTGAATATGC